CCACGCGGCGGGCCTGCCGAGGGGGAGACCACGCCCCGCTCGCCTCGCCCTCCTTCACGCGGCTCGGCACCACGCGGGCTCCTTCCGGGGGCCCGAGGGCCGTGTGAGAGGGCGTGTGTTCTGCACCGTCAGAGTCAATCCTGCGCCCTGCTCTGAGCCCAAGCTAGCTTCCCAGGTCGTGACACACATCTGCACAGCAGTTAACTAAGCCATCAGCAACTCCTTAATCAACGAGCGGTACTCACCTGGCCACGCCGCTCCCCCTCCCCCGCACCACCAGGACAACGGCACAGGCAACAAGGGTCACAGCGAGGGGCCTACGTACCACAATGATGGCGATCCTTCCGCCCACGTCGCCGACAACCGTGATCGGGGGCTTCTCCTTGGGAATCAGCACTGGTCAGGATAAAGCACACACAGGTGTCCAGGTTACAAAGCAGGCCCCAGCCTTGAGGCCACTGTCTCGTGATGAAAAGACCCAGGAAACCAGAAACAATCTGATAAACGGCCACCATGAGAGACCACCGCTAACATCACACTTAGGGAAGGACTCCTCCCCTCAAGTCAGGAACAAGACAAGGACGCCCACCGTCACCGCCGCTGCTGCCCGCTGTGCTGGCTGTCCCACAGCCATCAGGCCAGGAAAAGAAAGGCATCCAGCTTGGACAGGAAGAAGGAAAAGGATCCTGCACACAGAAAATACCTAAGAATCCACAGAAAACTACCACAGCTAACACGTGAATTCACCCAAGCTGCAGGAACGAGGTCAACACACTGAGACCAGCAGTGTCCCCACACACCAGCCACGAGCCCCCGAGGAGCAAGCAAAGAAAACTTCACTTACAAAACCGTCAGAAACAGAAAAGCCCCCCAAGAACAAGCTTAACCGAAGGCGTGAACGATTAGGACGGTGAAAACGACAAAGCGCTGGTAAGGGAGATGAAAGGACACAGAAACGGACAGAGAGGCGGCCTGTGCTCAGGGGTGGGAAGACACTGCTGCTAGGATGGCGGCGAAGTCAGAGACTCCGTGCACCCCCACCAGAACCTCGCCTGCTTTTTTTCGCAGAAATAAACTTGACGTTCATGTGAAAATGCAAGGGACCCCAAACAGCAAAAACCTTCCTACTGAGAATCCAGAAATAAACCCGACCATCCGTAGCCAATCGATTTTTCCCCATCTTTACTGAGATGTCATTGACAGACAGCATGTTGAGTGTAAGGCGTACACTTGTGTCTCACAAGATGATCCCCACAACAAGCCTAGTGAACAGGCCCACCACACTGTGTGGAGAGAACATGCAAAGCCCACTCTCCCAGCAACTGTCCGTATGCACCCCAGCACCGTTACCGGGGCAGCTGCTGTGGAGGACGGTCTGGGGGCGCCTCAAAAGGTTAAGATTACCCTGTGACCCAGCAATTCTAACCCCAGGAACAGACCCTGGACAAATGAAATCACACGTCCACCCGCGACGCGCACATGACTGCACACGGCAGCATCACAGCCACAAGGGAGCCAGCTTCGGCCGTGTGCCCAGCGGTGAATGGTAAACTGGCTGGAGAGCCACGCGATGGGGTGCCACGCAGCCGTCAAGGGGAAGGAGGCCTGGCACACGCGGCAGAAGGTCAGACACTGTGCTCAGTGAAGGGCCACACCCCGTCCAGGCCCACAGGTGTGAAGCGCGCAGTCAGCAGCCCCCGGGACAGGGCAGGCGCCGCCGGCAGGGGCTGGCGGGAGGGGCGTGGGGAACAACTGCCCAGCAGACAGCGGTGCTCTTTGGGGTGATGCAAAGTTTGAAAGTGACAAGAAACGATGGCTGCACAAGCTGTGCATGCACTCAACGCCAGGGACCTACACACTTCCAGACGCTGTGTCATGCGACTTTCACTTCAGTTTTTAGGAAAGGTCAGCGTCACTGAAGAAGCAGCAGGTCTGCCCTAGGTCAGGGCTGCTCCACCGGCACCGCTGACAGCCTGGGCTGTGGGCGTCCTGTGGGGGGTGGGGACGGTCAGCAGCGCCCCCCCTACCTGTGACATCCACAATGTCCTCCGTGCCCCTTCCCCGGCTGCCCCAGTGAAAAGCGACGGAAGATACGGGGCAGCTCAGGGCAGCACGTGAGCCAGGCCGGGCAGAGGAGGGCGGGCGCCGTGGCCAGGCTGCGCCGCCTCCTGAGGCTCCCCCAGCACCTCAGCCTCTCCCTTCCGAGATGCCCCCAGCCCCTCTCCCGCCCCGCAACACAGTGCACTCACCACAGTCGGGACACCCCGCCCCCTCACCCCACCTCCGTCCCCCAGGGCCCCGCGGCCTCCCGTCCCGGAAGGAGCCGAGTCCGAAGCCCCTCCTCAAGGCCCAGCTGCTGCCTGGCTCCTTCAGGCCATCCCAGGACAGCACTTCCTCCTCTCACATTTCCTGTTCACAAGGGAGCAGACTCGCAGGCAGAGCAAGCAGCTGGGGGGGCCCAGAGTACACGCCACAGGGGTACGGAGACCAGCTCAGCTCGAGGCACGGGCACTCGCCCAGACGCACAGGCAGCGCGGCCCCCACCCCCTCCCCTGTGGAGAGGGCACATGAGCCCATCCCAGCCGCCTCCTGAAACCCGGCTCTCCCCTTGCTCATCTGTCTCCTGTCGGCCTTGGCCTTTGCTGCGGCTTCCGAGCACTGAGCCTCAGGCGGGGAGGAAAAGCTCTTCCCACACTCACACAGAGCCAGTATTTGCTTTAACTGAAAAAATGTTATTAAAGCTTGAGGGGAGTTTCTTAAACACAAAACAAAGTCACGCATACCTTTCACCCTTCACGCTCCCTCCGGGCCCTGCAGAAGACGACAGGTGGACACGCCTGCATCCTGCCTTACTCACACACGCTTCCGATTCTCCCCCGCTTCCAGTCTCGCTGGTTTCACAGGGCCGTGCAATGAGCTGGGTCGACCCGATTCTTGCCCAGCCCCGCCCTCTGCTGAACCACTCAGACCTTCCCAGTATTTCGTACTGGAAGAAACACCACCTCACTGACTTGGCACCGAAAGCTTTCTGCTTATGTGAGGCCTCCTTGAGGACACGCTATGGACGGATGAGGGACATCCCCAACGTGCCAAGAACCAGCCTGAACTGGGCGTCTTCACAGGTCTTGCGAGCACTGCTAGGATCAGACCCACGGCCTCGAAGGGACATCAGAAGTGCACCTGTCACAACCAGGCCACCAACTCAGTTGTTGCCAATGCAAAAAACAAAAAGAGAGGAAGCACTTCACATTCGGGAAAAGAACCAGAGGACAGCCAGGCGGCAGCACACTTACTGGGGATCTCCAGGCTGGGGTGGATGGCGGCCGCGCTCCGGACCATGGGCGGGGAGTGCCGGCCGTCCACCAGGTCGGACTCGGCATCCTGCGCTTCCCCGTGGATGACCGCGATCCCCAGGCGCAAGCGCTCCGCAAAGGACTGTGCCCTGGGGAAGAGCACGATATGGTCACTGTCACACACCTGTCTGTGCCTCCAGACAAACATTACGGGAATTTTTTAGAAAGTGTATTTTCCCAAAGCATTTATGAAAAAGGAGAATAAAATAACCTCAGGCTCTTGGAACCCAGGACGAAGCATGGAGAGCCTGCGTGCAGACCTGCCCCTGTCGGGTGGGCCACCGGGCCTCCGCGTCCTCCCTCGGAACTGCTAATTCTACCTCCACCCGGTTAAGAGGGAGAACCGCCACATGAGACAAGGGCACTAAACACTCGTCAAGCACGAGGCACCGGCTTCCTGAGTTTTCCTGAGGTGCAGCCGGGACACAGGAAGCCACGCGTGCTTAAACCACAGGCTCCCAAGCCCCGGGGCAGGGACGCAGCCGCGTCACACCCAGGCTGACGACACTGTCTCTGCCGACGCTTCCTGTGCCCCTTCTGTGATTTCTCCTTCCAGCATCAGCTATCGGTGACCCGCCTTCTGTGGCCACAGTTCTAGTTTCCCAGCATTTCCTGAGCACACCAGGCGCTCGTTTCTGTCTTGCTCTGTCTACTCAGCACAACGTGCCAGAGGCGGACCCACATCCCGCGGTCATCAGCAGAGCATCGCTCTCGGTGCTGAGCAGCGTCCTCCGTGCGGGTGGTGACCACCCGTCCACTGACCTGCTGATGGAGCCGCGTCTGGTTTTGCGTTATTACAAACCTGCCACAAACGTTTGGGCACAGACATTCGTCTGGACTCACGCCGTCTTTTCTCTGGGATGAAGGCCTAGGAGCAGAATGGTGGGAGCACACGGCTGCACACGTCTAACGCTAAGCAACGGCCACGCTGTCCTCCGACGTGGCTGTCACACGGCCCCACATCCCCGCCCCTCCGTGCCCGGGGCTCCCTGGTTTCACCACGGATGGAGCCCTCCTGACTGACGCTGCTGGACACTTTTTCATGTGCTTATCTGCCACCTGTACAGATTCTCTGGAACAGGGTCTGTTTCTCTTTTGCCAGTTTTTAAATGGGGTTGTTAGTTCTCCTACTAAGTTTAGAGAATTCGCCGTACGTCCTGAGTACGAGCCCTTCATCGGGTGCACGTGACGAGGCTCTCCTCTCCGTCCGGCCTCCTCCCGTTCCTCTCCCGTCTTCTGAAGAGCAGGCTTCATTCTGACGACGCCCAGTTTAACATCTGCTTTCCTTGGAAGTTGTTGTTTTTCAAAGGTGTTTTGTTTTTTGGATTTTTTGGGGGGGGGACTATTCTAGTTCTTGTGTTTTCATCTAAATTTTAGACTCACTTTGTCAAATTCTACAAAAAGCCTGCCGACATTCTGATGGAATAGTGCGAGTTCTACAGGCTCCTGGGAGGAAGGAGATCTTAACACTGATCCTTCGACCCGTGAACACAGTGTACCTCTCCATTCATTCTGGTCTTCTGCTCAGCAGTGTTTGTATTTTCCAGTGTGCAAGCCTTGAACCTCCCTGGTTTATCCCTAAAGGTTCCACTTAATTTGATGTTATTGGCTTGATTTTTCATTTCAGTTGCTCATTGCTAGTACACAGACTGTAACTGACTCTTGCATGCTGACCTCATGTCCTGCAGCTCTGCCGCGCTGACTCACCGGCACTGAGAGCACCCTGCAGACGGCGGCAGGCTTTCCTACGTGGCTGCGAATTAGGAGTGTTTTGCTTCTTCCTTTTGCTCACTGGATTCCTTCCCCCGCCCCCCTTCTCAATCACAGTCTCAGAACCTCCAGCACAGTGCTGAACAGGAGCAAGGAAAGCAGACACCTGGTCTCCGGATCCTGGGGGAAGCAACCAGTCCCATCGCTGAGTGTGATGCGAGCTGAGGGTTTCACAGGTGCCGCTCTCGGGGTCAGGGAGTGCCCTTCCATTCCTGGCTGCCTAAAGCTATTATCAGGAGCAGAAACCGAACATTGTCAAGTGCTTTTTGAGTCAACTGAGATAATCATACAGTTTTTCTCTTTCAGTTTATGCCCAATGGTCCTGATGTATTAGCCTTTTTATGTATTGTTGGATTCAGTTTGCTAAAATGTTGCTTAGAATTTTCATATCCGTGTTCATGAGGAATCGTGATCTGTTGTTCTTTTCTTGTAATGTCTCTGCTCTGTCATCAGGGGAACGAATGCCTCACAAAATGAGCTGGGAAGTGTTCGCCCTTCTTCAATTTTCTGTAAGAGTTAACGTACAACCAGCATCATGTGCCCTCTAAACATCCACCGCAGGGGTCTTACTCTTCCTCCACCTCCAGGACCTAATGCAAGGTGAATGTTCAAGTGCTTACCGACCCAACAAGGTCTCCCAATGCTGGTTTTCAAAAATCAGAAATTCAAAGCAGGTCCTAACAGCTTATAGGAACAGCTGAAAACAAACAACAAGAAGGGCCTCGGTCTCAGATGAGGCACTAGGCTGACCCGCCAGCACTGCCCACCCCGGACACAGCCAAGGCATTTCACGCCAAGGGAAGAAGGCAGGCGCCTGAAAACACCACGCCTGCTCCCAGCATCCGGCTCCCAGCGGGGCAGGGCCTCGCCTCCACCAGGGCCCCATCTGCAGTGTCAGCAATTAGAGCAGAACAGTAAACTGATGGCGGAAATCTACTTCAAATTACTTTCTTACAAAGTTGCATTGTGCCTCCCTCGGCAGAAAGCAGGATGTCACTACGCAGTGCGCACAGTTGCCTTCTGTGGTATTTAAAAAAAAACAAACCCTCGAATGCACATAAAGAAACACCTTCTGGGCTGGCCCTTCCTACAATGAATCCAGTTTATTGTTTCCAAGGAAAAGACAGTAAGACTTTATAAGAGCAGAACTGTACTGCACCATCTGATACAGAAAAGGTATCCGTGTGTGTGTGTTTACTTAGAGGAAAGGGGGAGTCACCGAGGAAGAATATTTTAATTAAAACTGCTAAATACCCTGAGAGTTAAGATGTAGTATTTGCATAACTTTAAATTCATCCTTTTAAGAAATTCAAAATTGTTGTTAAAGAAGTCCTCACAGAAAAACCCGCCCAAACACCCACCCCAACCTCATGGAGACGGGCACCCAGAGACCAGCTCCTCCTCCTGACTCAAGGCTGGCTTCGCAAACAAGGTCACTGTCGAAGCGCAGGCCGCTCAGGTACCCCCAGGAAAGCCTTTTTCCGTCGGGAATCAGCAGAGATCCCCAGTTCCTAGAATTACGCTATTCCACCTCTACTGGCGTCTCGACAAGAACGCAGCCCTTCCCAGATGAGCGCAGCCCTTGCATGCACGCCAACGCTAGCTTCTGGAGCCTTTATGTGACTGGACACACAACCCGGATTCCTGACTCCGAAAACAACCAGGCTGTTTTCTGACGGTTACACTGCACTCCCTTACATGCCAACAGTCACAGGACCCCCAAAGCACCTCAGCCTTGCTCCCGGCTGTGCAAGGATGGCGGCTGATTCACATCAGGGGCCAGAACGAGACACAGGGTCTCAGATTTCTTTTTCTATTCACTCAGCTACGCTGAGGAAACAATTCTAAACAACGCATTACAGCAAGCTGTTTCTTCTTAAAGCAACATTATATTCTCAGATGAGCCCTTTCCTTCAAAACAACAGCTCACTGCCCAAGGGCCCCACAGCCACGGCCGCAGAGCCCGGGGCACTAACCAGGGCACTAACCACCACCCCTCGACCCCGCCGTGTCCGGGCTGGGAAACCCTCTCCGGAGCAGGTGACTAATCTATCTGCCAGGGCGACAGCTCGGCGTCACCCGCGTTTCACCGCTTAGGAAACGGAGGCGTGGACCCCGGTTCTCACAGAGACCGGCTCAGCCCCAACCGAAGGCCACATCCTGTGACTCCCGGTCCCACTGCCTTCCTGTGTGAAGCAAAAGCCGGGCTGGGCCTACTTGTAAATCCAAGTGTAACAGGTGTCGGATCACTGACCTGAGTTCTGCTGGGCCTACTTAGTAAATCTAAGATAGTGAGTGTCGGTTTGCTGATTCCCTGCTCATGTTTTTTTTTTCTGCTAGCCAGCTGGATTTTCAGAGACATATCTGGCCTTGAAATGTCGGTCTGCTGCCTCCCTGCCTCTGCTTGTGTGATAATGCTGCTGCTAAAGCTGTTCCGTGCCTATTGGCCGAATACCCCAAGCTCGTAATTAACCCTGTAAAACCTCACACGCACGTCTTGGAGGTGCCGAGCTTCGGAGCAGAAGCCCTTCTGAGCCCGCCGGGGTAAATAAACCTGAGTGCTCCTACCCTCCGAGTGGTGCTTGTTTCTTGGCTGGCCTGTCGTTTCCATGACACCTGCTGCCTCAGGGTGTCTCTTAAATTAACTACAATGGTTTTCTAAGGTTAGGTGCCAAATAGAAAACTTGGAGGAAGCAGAAACAATCAGATCAAACATGGCATGTTGCGAAGCAAGAAAGTGCCACCCCAAGCTCCAGCCCTGCAGGAACACGCAGATCAGGGCGTCAGAAGAGAAGAGCCCGCCCCTCAGCCGGGGGACACAGCCAGCCATGAAGCCGACTGCACCACGTCAGGTGCAGCTGCCCACAGGGCTCTTACAGCACCCTCAACGCGGGCAGCGAAAGGCCCAGCTGCAGCGACACTGTCTCGCTGTCCCGTCCCCCTCGCAGTGACTGTCCCCACCCTAGAGCAGGGCTGTGTAACTCGTGTGGGTTCCATCACAGGAGGCGGGCAGAGGCTGGACCCCCCACGCCACCTGATAACCTACCGCAGACGGGCCACCAGCGGTCTTCCTGCTCATTCCCCAAGGAAGCGCCATCGCAAGTTTTATCCCCAGCAGCTGGCATGGCGCCCGGTGAGGGGTGGCCTCACATGTGCAGCGAGCGAGGACTCGGAGGACGGGCAGGCTGGCCCTCGCCCACAGCCACTGGAGTGGAAAACACTCTAAGAGGTAATCAGTCGGGCCACCACCTTCCCGGAGGCAGCACACCGGTGAATCACCCTGGCTCCGTCTCTGCCGTTTCTCCTCTCACATGCGAGAGGGACCAGAGGAACAGGCGGTGTGGGTCCCCCATCTTTCTAACCGCCTCGTCACCCCAGACTCGCAGCTGGGCCCAAAAAACAGCCCCTCCTGCCGGAGGACCAAGATGGGCAGCCTCACAAACCAGGGGGCTTCCAACAGAAACTGCCCTGCTCCAGCCAACCCACAGGCCTCCGGGGGCAAAGAGCAGCTCAGGTCAGGGTACGTTAAGCTCAGCGGTCCCTCAAAATACACACGGATTCAGTGTGTGACCCAGCAGCTTCACCTCGGGGCACACATCTGCGAGAAATGAAAACGCACGGCAACACAGACACACAGGGCTGCTATTCCTAACGGCCTGCAGCTGGAAACAACCTGAACGCCCGTGGACGGACAAATGCAGTAACAAGGCGCAGAACATCCGTACAATGGAGTATCATTCAGCCATAAAGACCGGTGGATTCCTGATCCACGTCACGACACGGGGGACCTGCAAACACCGTGCTGAGTGGAAGAAGCCAGACACAAAGCCCGCATGTGTGTGATTCCTTTTACGAACCATCTAGAATAGGCGACTGCTCAGAGGCAGAAGCAGATTAGCAGCTGCCAGGGAACGGGGAGCGATCACTCAGTGAGGATGGGGTGTCCTTCGGGGGTGATGAGAAAGTCCTGGAACTGGAGAGAAGTGGTGGCTGAACAACACTGCGAACGTACTAAACGCCAGTGAACCGTATACTTTAAAATGGTTAACTGCGTGTTACGTGACTTTCAACTTCATTTTAACAAGTGCGTGTATCAGAGAAAAGCAAATTACTAAACTGAAATTAGTTCAGCCTTTGCACAAATGCGTTGAAGGCTGTGTGAAACGTTTATACTCCCAAACAAGCCCTGGTGCACTACGACTTAACAAATGGACGATGTGAGACTGGCGGGACAGGGCTCCTGCAGGAAGCGCGTGCAGGCACAGCCTGGCTGCACCGGGAAGCGGGCTCCGAGGGCGCGGAAGCGCACGGTCTTACCACGAACGCCAAGTCCATCTACTCGCTACACTAAACGCTAGTCTTGCTTTGCAGTGGAAACCGCTCATCTGTGACACTGGTGACACTGGTAAATGGGCGGCTCATGACGCGCCGGCTGCCCTTCGCCCCGATCCAACGCCCGTGGCCAAGGACGGCAGTAACTGCCTGTCTTCCCCGCACCGGCCTCAGCGGCGATCCAGCCCACAGCAGAGGCTGAAGTTCAACCAGTGGAGGTTATTTTAAGAGCTTTCCTTAGGAAAAAGTCTCCACCCTACACTTGATTTTGACCTTTCCCTCCGCAGCGGAGTGGGGTCTCCAGGCAACATCAGTACAGGCAGACCTCTCTTTACTGCGCTCTGTAGACGCTGCGTTCTTACAAGCTGAAGGTTGGTGGCGACCCTGCCAGTCTCTCGGCGCCACTTTTCCAACAGCATTTGCTCAGCTGGTGTCTGTGTCACGTCTTGGTAGTTCTCAGTACACTTCAGACTTTTTCATTACTATTACATCCGTTATGGGGATCCGTGGTCGCTGATCTTTGATGCAAGAAGATTACGTATGACTCACTGAGGGCTCAGATGATGGTCAGCACTTTTTAGCAATAAAATACTTTTACACTAAGGTATGTATAATTTTTTTAATACATAATGTCACGGCACACTTAGAAGACTACAGCACAGTGTAAACGTAACTTTTACACCCACTGGCAACCAAATCTCCACGAGACTCTCTCTACCGCGACCCTGGCATTCCTGGAGCGGTCTGGGCCCCAAGCACAGGGTCTCTGAGGCACGTCTGTGTGCGACGTCCTTTCAGCTCAAGTGCAAGCTGAAGTTCCAAACCACTGACCCATCAGTTACTGCCGGTTACACATAACTCTCAGCGCTGCCCCGTCTGCACCCCTCAGGGTGTTTTAGTTTTGTAAACTGTCACCCTTTAACACATACCAATCAGTGGCCTCTTGGATGGATACAATCCTGTTAATAAATTACAGAGTTTCTGAACACAGGGCAGTGAACGACCTCGGAGTATGTACGCTGGTATTTTAAACACCAGATCTGAGGGCCTACACGTGGCAGCCAGCCTGGGAGGGAACGGAGCCCTGGGCTGGGAGTCCCCAGATCTGAACCACTTTGGGCGAGAAACATGACTGTTAATCACAGACTGGGACTGAAGAAAGGGGACGAAAATAAATCATCACTTAATAAATGGAGTCAGCGGACAATCCTCTAAACCATCAGTCCACGGAATAAAAGGAAGGAGCATGTGGGAACCACTGAGACAGAGTCCAGAACATCTGGGAGTCACGGGGCTGGGGCCGTGGGTGCAGCCCTGGGCCCCCACCTACCTCTTGGCTGAGGCTGGAGACTTGGCCACAATCACCGCGTTCCTGTAATCCGGGATCTGTGACAGAGCAGAGGTTGGGGATTACTGCCATGTCTCTGCAAGGCTACTCACGCCAACACTCCACGACCAACACGAGTGAGTGTTCCAACAGCCCAAGATGCCATCAGGCCACTTCAGTGTCTTCCAAGGAGACAAAAAGTTCAAAGCAAATTTTGTTTTTGGAAAAAGAAATATTATCAAGGCGTGAATCTCCTGGACTTCTTTTAAGGAAAGGGTAGGGCTAATCACAATCAGCTCAGGTCTGTGTAGCAGCAAATACTGACAGTGGTGTAAAGACGTTTCCACAAAGCCAACAGGGAGCCCTCTCCTGACCCCCAGGCGCCGCAATTTCACGTGC